TTTTTTTTTTCCCTGCCATAGGTTTCCTCATGGGGAGGTTATGTGTTCCTGATCAACTTGATTCCTCTTCATGTTCTGGTGCTGATGCTCACAGGCCGTTTCTCCCACCGGATTTATGTGGCCTATTGCACAGTTTACTRCCTGGGCACCATTCTTTCCATGCAGATCTCCTTTGTGGGTTTCCAGGTGAGTGTTAGATTTAATAGAGTTTTCAGCCTCTTCAGGTATTGTTTTGGTTGGGTCTTGAATGATGAGAATTTCAATGAAAGGAAGTTTCAGGAAAATTGCAGACCAAGCCAAGGAAATAGCCTGAGCAATAGGCAGAGATGTGATTAAGATGGTGTGTGGTATGTTTTGGGGGACTCTATGTATATTTGGAAAATATGTCAGATGAATTAAACCCTTGCCTAGATTGGACTGATTCCTTTGGGAAACTTCAGAACTTATTTGACCCCTGAAATAGATCAGGGTAATAAGGGTCTGGGCTATATTATTACCATATATAATGCTTTTTCCCTACAGCCTGTCCTTTCATCAGAGCACATGGCAGCCTTTGGAGTCTTTGGTCTTTGCCAGATCCATGCCTTTGTGGATTACCTGCGCAGCAAATTAAATCCACAGCAATTTGAAGTTCTTTTCCGTAGTGTCATATCCCTGGTAGGCTTTGTCCTACTCACTGTGGGAGCTCTCCTCATGCTGACAGGTAGGGTGGGATCTTAGCTTCTAGTATTAAATGAAAATGGATACATAAAATAAACTCCAAAAAGAGTATTTCCTGAGCATAGGAGATTCTTTCTTTTATTCCTGTTTCTCTTTATTTCAAATACTAAAGTTTTGCTTTTTTATATTCAATTCACTTGTCATCCCCAGTGTTAGATTTACCATAGCAGAAAATGTCTTATTAGAGCTACTTTTAATTACACCTAGTGAAAGAACTGTATCTTACCTTGCTAATCTTTTTCTTTTCTATTGGTTGGTAGACCTTCTTACATTCCTTGTGATACCTTATATCATGGCACTCATCTAACCCTATGGGAACTTAATCATGGCCATTCATATTGGTTAGCCTGCCACATTTTCCTCCTTCATTTTTTTTTTCCACTCTCAGAAGCTAATTTGTTTTTACCCAAGTATTGTCTAATTCAGAGTGGGACTAGAGGACATTGTTTATTTAATCTCTGGAGTTTTCCAGATTAGGCATAATACCTTTTCAGGAAGCTCTTTTGCCTTCATTTTTTTCTCTGAATTTATATATAGCCCAATTCTTAWTCTGCTGGTGATGTTGACTCAAGTACGCTCAAGTTTGAAGGAAAAGGAGTGAAACTCTTTAGTATTATTGGTGGCACTGAAGCAAAAACTTAGTCCTTCTCTGTCTCTAAGAGTGTTATTAAAATGAGATGTTGTGATTAGTTAGGTTAGGATGTTTGTTTTAGGAGTGTAAGTGAAATTTTTATTGCTTCTTTGCTGCCAGGAAAAATATCTCCATGGACGGGGCGTTTCTACTCACTGCTGGATCCTTCTTATGCTAAGAACAACATCCCCATCATTGCTTCTGTGTCCGAGCATCAGCCCACAACCTGGTCTTCCTACTATTTTGATCTGCAGCTCCTCGTTTTCATGTTTCCAGGTCTGTCTACCTTGTGCTCTGAAGTGGCCTTTTTCATAGAATCACCATTTGATTCTAAAAATGTCAACTACCCTCATCTTTGTTCTTATTTGCCTGTTTATGCTGTGCAGGACAGAGGATGGCTAAGCACATTTTCCAGATATTTGAAGCAGAGTAGGAGTCAGAAGTTGAAGTTACAGATATTGGCAAGCTCAGTTCTTCATAACTTTCTGTTTATTTGTTTTATGTTAAAATTCAACTCTACTTCTTATTTGGGTTTTTTTGTTTGTTTGTTTTCTTTCTTTTTCTTTGTAGTATTTCTGGCATATACTCCTGACTTCATCTAATTTCTCCTGTTTGCAGTATTGAAGTTTCATAATGGCATTACAAACTGTAGAGCMTTTTCAATATCTTCTGGCCAATTCAGATATGTTTTAGAATTTACCAATGTCAGTGGTCTTTTATAAAATAACTTGTACTTTATTTTATTATGGAAGTATTTGTGTATTGTGAAAATAATATAAATAAGTAAAAAAAAATTGTAAAAATTAGAGTTCTTAACACCTATCTCTAGCTACTATTGATAATTTATATTTATCCACTTATTGATATTGTGGATATCAGTGTATATTCATTTACTTATTTATTGAATAAGAATAAGATCGTACAGTTTTTTCYGCTGATCCTGAAGAATCATGATAGGGCTGAGGATGTGGCTCAGTGCTAGAGTACTTGCTTAGCCTGCTGAAGACTCTAGTTTCAATTCCTAGCACTGAAAAAATTTAATTTAATCCCTGTAATTTATTATTATTGTTATTATTATTATTGTTGTTGTTATTATTGTTATTATTGTTATTATTTTAATATTTATTTTTTAGTTTTCAACGGACACAACATCTTTTATTTTATGTAGTGCTAAGGATCGAACCCAGCGCCCTGCACATGCCTGGTGAGCGCGCTACTGCTTGAGCCACATCCCTAGCCCATTATTTTATAGAAATATTTAAGATATATCATTCGTTAGTTTTATTGTTTCAGTACAAGATGCATAAAGATGTGTAAAAGGGCAAATAGTCCATAACCCTATGCAGCAATGTCTTAATTGATATATTCCATTTTTAAAATATGCTTTTAACTAGCTTCTTTGCTGGACATTTTAGGTTGTTTCTCAATTTTTGTGACAGTAAACATCTTTTGCACATTTCTATGATTTTTTTTTTAGGATAAATTCCTGGAAGTGGAATTGCTGAGTTAAATGTGTGGAATCATCCAGTGATATAATGAAGATAATTTCCCTTGTAGGTTTCTGCCTATAGGGCTCATCTGCTTACTTCTCCTTCCCTCTTTTGTAGTTGGTCTCTATTACTGCTTTAGCAACCTGTCTGATGCCCGGATTTTTATCATCATGTATGGTGTGACCAGCATGTACTTTTCAGCTGTAATGGTGAGGAACTCCCTCAGTCTTAGCAAAACTTTTCACTCTTAACTCTGAGGTGCTTTTTTGTTTTTGTTTTTTCCTGGTAGGATTCAGAAAGTAGTAAAGTTTGTATAGACGTTTCCTTCTGAGCACTTGAGGGGCTGAGTTGTAGAGCTACTTGCTATTATTGATTCTCACTAGGGATGTCCAAGACCCTCATACATTCTGGTTGTATTGTTCTGCTTTCTTGGGTTCATAACCTGTGTAGCAAGGCAGTTTTGCATTTTTTTTGAAGAATTTGACCCTGGGTGACTTAAAAAGGGAGATGATGCTTTTTTACTTGAAGGTATGGGAGTACTATCTAGAGATAGATAGTTAAGAGAGAGGAGGGATTTTAAGACAATATTTCTAACACTGTTTTGATTCCAAATCGCAATTAGGAATGTATTTTGTATTACTCAAGACACATATGTATACATAAGTACCTGTGACAGAGTTTAAGAAATATATACTTTTATTGTTGTTATCCCAAACATTTTCTGTCTTTACTGAAAAATCATGTTTGATGAAAACCTCTAAATTGATGTCATAGTTTACTAATAGAATGAAATCTGTAATTGTAAAATGTTGGTTAGACTGATGATTCCTGTCTCTCTTAGGTACGTCTAATGTTGGTGTTAGCACCTGTTATGTGCATTCTTTCTGGCATTGGAGTCTCTCAGGTGCTGTCCACATATATGAAGAATCTGGACATAAGTCGCCCAGACAAGAAAAGCAAGAAGCAACAGGATTCTACTTACCCTATTAAGAATGAAGTAAGAATTAAATGACAGTATAGCAGATTTGGGAAATTGCGTGTGTGTGTGTGTGTGTGAGTGTGAGTGATATGTATGTTTGTGTTTTTGAGTGGGAGAGTAAATTAGAGCATTGTAATAGGTGGTTAGAATAAGCTCAGGTAACCTCTGACTTATTTTGATTCAACTCATTTATATTGTCTATATAGAAATTGTTCTATTAATTTAGTTTGGTTTATTATGTAATTCTTTTTCCTTGTTTAGGTGGCAAGTGGGATGATATTGGTCATGGCTTTTTTTCTCATCACCTACACCTTTCATTCAACCTGGGTGACCAGCGAGGCCTATTCTTCTCCTTCCATTGTATTGTCTGCCCGTGGTGGGGATGGCAGTAGGATCATTTTTGATGACTTCCGAGAAGCATATTATTGGCTTCGTCACAATACTCCAGAGGTGAAAATTTGGGAGGAATGCAATTGTGGGGTAGGGATTAAGGGGGAAACACTGGATATGATAGTGAATCATGTAGCTTTGAGAAAGGTGGAAAGTTTGGAGAAATTGGAACTTTAGAAATCTAGTCTTGAATAAACTTTAAAGGCCAACTTCCATTTAATTCAGGTAATTCTTCTGTAGTGAATCTTAATTATCTAAACTTTCCATGGCCACTTGCATTGATATGTTGGTGGTTTGATATGAAACAGACTATCCTTCCCAGTAATAAAAGAAAAGCTGGTCATGGTGGTACACATGTATAATCTCAGCAATTTAGGAGACTGAGACAAGGGGATCACAAGTTCAAGGCCAGTTTGGGAAACTTATCAAGACCCTGTCTCGAAATTTTAAAAAATGGCTGGGGATACAACTCAGTGGTAAAATACCTCTGGTTCAATTTCCAGTACTGGGGGAAAAAAAAGTTAAAAATATATAATACATGTTTTATGTTTTTTTTTCTTTTTGTATATTTATGTTTTAGTTTTAGGTGAACACAGTATTTTATTTTTATGTGGTGCTGAGGATTGAACCCAGTGCCTCATGCATGCTAGGTGAGCGCTTTACCACTGAGCCACAACCTCAGTTCTAGAATACATGTTATTATTTCCATAAAGTTAACACTTAATGATAAGTACTTTTTAACATTTTAGTTTATTGCCTTTTGAGAATCTGAAGTCATTTTTTTTGGACTATCTGTTGAACATGRCATTTCTGAGCATATTTGTTAAGAGTCAAAACCAGAATATATATATATATWTWTTTGGTAGTGCCTGCGGATTGAGTCTAAGGCTTTACACATGCTAAGCAAGTGCTCTACTACTTAGCTAGAACCTTAGCCTCAGAACTAAGAGTCTCTTAATCCCTGCCCATCAAATCTTGTGATTTTGTGTTTTTCCTCCCATATTTATAATAACTGATTTTTGTTATATTGTTAGGTCATTTATTTAATAAAGTTACTTAGTGATACTAAGCTATCACTTAAGTATCATTTAGTGTATTGCACAGTCCCCTACACATCCCACATCATTGTGTTTGTTTATATAAAGTGATTTGGGAATGTTGGATTGTATATAACTTGTGCTGAGTTTTCATGATTGTATATAAATGGAGGAAAAGATACCAACATTTATTTTCTGGTTAGGAGTGTACTATGTTGTGAAGAAATTGATTAATGAGCCAGGCCTCACTTTCTATCGGACCACAGATGTCCTACCACTCTTTGTCTTGCATTTGATTTTTAGGGTAGTAAGAATCCTGTTGTTTCTTTTACTATTCTTTCAGGATGCAAAGGTCATGTCATGGTGGGATTATGGCTACCAGATTACAGCTATGGCAAACAGGACAATTTTAGTGGACAATAATACATGGAATAATACCCATATTTCTCGAGTAGGGCAGGTAAGTTAAGGGATCCTTTGAATGTTTGATATGCACAGTCTAGTGGAAAATACTCCTCATGAAGAAATCTCATGATTTGAGATTTTGTTCTGAAGATTATACATTCATTTTTCTAGGCAATGGCATCATCTGAAGAAAAAGCCTATGAGATCATGARGGAGCTTGATGTCAGCTATGTGCTTGTCATTTTTGGAGGCCTTACTGGGTATTCCTCTGATGGTAATGTACTTGGTTCCATTTCTAACTGCAGGGCATAGATTATTATTATTAATATTTAAAAAAAATTTTTTTTRGTTGTCAGTGGACCTTTATTTACATAAGGTGCTGAGAATTGAACCCAGAGCCTCACACATGCTAAGGCATAGATTATAAGAAAACTAGATGAATCTCCTTACTACTCTAACCAAGACTTCATTTCTTTTTGTTTTGTTTTGTTTTCCCCGTCCTTTCTTTCCTTCTCACAGTATGACATGCTATGATTGTCTAAAGACAGTAGTTCCCCAAGTAGTAAAACTAAGACTGTAAGGCTTATGAAAATGAACTTAAGAATCAGCATTATTTAATCAATTTAAGCTATGTAATCATTTGTTAGCTTAAAAAATGTTTTTTAAATATATGTAGGTATGAAATGCATTTACATATAAAAAATATATATATATTGTATGTATATATAAGTGTCACATGAACATATGTACATACACACAGCCCTGTTATTCATGAGTTATACATCCATGAATTCAATGAAAATATTTGGGGAAAAAAATTGTGTCTGTGTTAAACATGTACAGACTTTTCTTATCATTATTCTTAAAACAGTATAGTATAAAATGTATTTACATAATATTTATGTTGTATCAGATATTATAAGTAATCTAAAGATGATTTAAAATATATGGGAGGATGTAAGCTATATGTAAACACTATTTTATTTAAAGGATTTGAGCATCTGTAGATTTTGGTATCTATGGGGAGTCCTAGGAGCAATCTCCTACAGACACTGAYAACTGAATCTATAAAAGGGCAAATATTACCATGTTCTTTATGATAATTGACAAAAAGATATTTTTATAAGAAACATGAAAATATAGTTCACTGCTTTAAAAATAACATTTACAAGATTAAAGTAATACCTGCTAATTTTTTAAAAAGTTAAAACAATTCTGAAGGTTTATAATGAAGAATTATCGTATCCCCTAAACTGGAGCCTCTTTAACACCAATCCCCAGAAGCAGTTATTCCTAGTATTTATTTATTTTTGGTGCTGGAAATTGAATCTCATGTGCATGTTAAGGCAAGCGCTCTACCACTGAATCATACGCCTAGCCCCTCATAATTTTAAGTAGCATGTATATTTTGCTATATTCAGTGATTGGTCAGTTATAGATATACTTTATAAATYTCTTACCATAAACAAAAGAGTTTTGCAGTTTATTTCATATTCTCTCCTTTTCCTTTCTCATTTCTTAGCATAGTTAATTTATAATTGTTGATTAAATCCAGAAGTGGTTTCAGAATCATGACTTTTAAATATTATTGACTGCTGAGTCAACTAGTACACTATAACTTGTTTACCTGCAGTTAATGATTACTTTGTGGTTATCTTTCTTTTTTTTCTTCTTTTTGGTGGTGAGGTTTGAGCTTAGGGTTTTGCTCATGCTGAGTATGTAGTCTACCCCTGAGCTAATCCCCAAGATGTGTTCTTATTTTTATTTTTATTTTTTTTAGAGAGAGAGAGAGAGGAGAGAGAGATACAGAGAGAGAATTTTTTTTTTTTTTTTTAATATTTATTTTTTAGTTCTCGGCAGACACAACATCTTTGTTGGTATGTGGTGCTGAGGATCGAACCCGGGCCGCATGCATGCCAGGCGAGCGCGCTACCGCTTGAGCCACATCCCCAGCCCCAAGATGTGTTCTTATTTTAGATTAGTTTCTGATATAGGCACATGACAGTTCCATCCAGACAGTATATAAGTAATAAAACTATATCATGTTTTATACTAGGGACCTGTCACCAGACTTCAGTTTTCACAAACAATTGCACCAGCACTATTTGGTTGTGTGCAATTATTTTTCAGTTTTCTTTTTATTATAATAACAACATTTCTAAGTCTGTAGAAATTTTTATGTATATCTGTGTATGTGTGTAAATATGTACATACATGCATGTTGTGTTTATGTATGTATGTATGCATATGTGTGGTAGAAAGGGATAGTCCCCAGGAGTCTTAGCTTAAGTAGCCATTGCTAACAATATTTTTTTGCTTGTTGAGATGAATGGAAGATTATGTTTATAATGTTGGAATAAAAATGAGTGTAATTTTTGGAAAATATTTTTTTGTGTGTGAAATTCTAGAAATTAGCAATTACACATGATACCCGACAAAGTAGCTTAGCATGAAAGTAAATATTATTAAAGTCAAGAAGTCTTGGTTAGCCGGGCATGGTGGTGCTCCYATAATTCCAGTGGTTCTGGAGGCTAAGGCAGAAGGATTACAAGTTCAAAGCCATCTTCAGCAATTTAGCAAGGCCCTAAGCAACTTAGTGAGACCCTRTCTCAAAATAAAAAGTAGAAAAAGGGCTGGGATATGGCTCAGTAGTTAAGAGACCCTGGGTTCAAATGTTGGTTCCAAAAAAAAAAAAAAAATAGTCTTGGTTATACAGATGTTTAAAGTAAACTTGGGATTGAGTATATTTAAAAAGAAGTAGACATTGTTAAGTGTATAGCTTGATGGGTTTTTAGAGAAAAATYACACTCATGTAACCACAATCCAGGTTGAGTATTACTAATATTCTAGAATTATTCTTTATACTTCCTTGCAATATCTACCACCAGTTCTCAAGGCTGACCACCGTCCTAGCTTCTAGTGCTATTTAGTTTTGAAACAGATTTATTGTTTCATAATTGTACCTTGCACATATTTAAAAAGTCTCATTTGATACATTTTGTCATATGCATATACCTATGAAGTTTTGCCTGTTTTTTTTTTTTTTT